TTGATTTTTTATTTCTGAATTATTTGGTTTCTTTTATTTATTTATTTTTTTAGACCTCAAATGAGAACTCATTGTTTTACAAGAACGTTGCCACAATTATTTTTCGGGAAGAGGGAGGAGGGTGTTAAGGAATTTTTCTACAATCTCAAATATCGGAAGAAAATGTCTGAAATGTTGTCAGCTGTTGGAACGAAATTTTACATTAAATGCCAATTGTAGGAACGAAATTTCCCGTAAATTAAATATAAGCCTATGCTTGAACTTTATTTTACAACAAACTCTTTCAAGATATATTTTAGCTACACAATAGTTGTAGATTATGAAATGATATTCGAATAAGATGCTTCTAAGCTATTCAGTTGCTCACGGCACCCATATATGACTAAATAAATAAATATACATAATTTCGCTATTGGTAAGTTTTTCATTTGAATTCCCATTATATTTAGGTTTTCAGTAATATTGTCTTGTGATTTTAATCATACTTAATCAAAACAAAAATTTGCAATATATATCTGTAGACTTAATTATATTGAAAAGAAAATTATTTGTATTATTACTGGTCGTTTTATTAATATTATGGATTAAGTTAAGATTGATTAACTTTAATAAATATCTTAAAGAAAGTTACAGATTTTGCTAATCAACACAATATATCTTTTAACTACAAAACATTATTTTTGATACTGACCATACTGACCATAAAAACATCTGAACACATTATATTATTTACATATGATATCGATTGTTTATCAAATTAAATTAAATCATATGGGTTGTCCTGCTCCTACATCATCATTCCATAATTATGGAATTTTATATTATTAGTTTTTATTATAAGATCTGGTATGAACTTGTTCTTAGTTAATATTTGTAATGTTGTTGAGATATTAATTAATATTTAATTATGACGTATGAAAATAAAAATATATTTATGATTAAGCTGCCGCAATGCAGTTCGTATACTAATTAAGTATATATATATATATATATATATATATATATATATATATATATATATATATATATATATATATATATATATATATATATATAATTTTTCATAACAATGGATGGGACTGGTTGAGACATCAATCAAATTTTCAATCAATTCCTTTACTCGTCCCATGCCCGGGTCTACCCCTCCTTAACTTGCAGTCATCCATCACTCTTCCAAACTTCCAACTTTTTCCAAACTAGATTCTCGTACAAAAATATCTTTAAATCTTTCTCTCGGGTAAAGTTCTGTTCTGAAATAGAGATTGAACGATAATCTGTCCTGTTTAAATTGATGGTGAATCACAATTTCACATCATGTCCCTTGTTGAGCCATAGACTAAAATCAATTGAGTAAACCTGCTACATTTTAAAATTTACTTTGTTCTAATCTGATCTATTACTTCAAACCATCCAATCCAAATTATTGCAACTGATAACAAAAGCACCTTGGTACGTGACTAATAAAACTTTACATACTATGACCTCCACCTTCCAACAGTTGACCAACATATAACGACGATTTTATACTTACTTAAACGGATATAATAACAGACTAATAAGAGACATGGCAACAGCTGACATAGCTCAGAACATGAGCAGGAGACTAAATAGGCGTTGGATGAGAGATCTTCCTTAAGCAACCCTAGTAATTGAAACAAGTTAGGAAAGAGGTGCTGCTGAGTACTTTCGTTCCTCATTCGTTTCATGGCATTATTTTCTGGATATCCAGCACATTTGCTGATTGTCAACAATAAGACGACAGGCGCAAATAATTTTTTATAGACAAAAATAAACTTTGTTTTATAATGCAATCCACGTTCTGTTAGGAATTAATGTTATTTTAAAACCGCAGAATAATTGGTTAATTAGTAAAACATGTCAGGTGAGGTTAATAACACTTTCAATTTTGGTATTAACCTTACAGTTTACGGCTTAACTACTTATTTTTATATCTGATATCTAAATGAGAGTGTTTTAATATAACTACTTATTAAAAAAAGATATATGATGAGGGACTTTGAGTTTGACTACGGGCAAGTTTCTTAAAATCGTTAGTTGTTATGGCGCTGAGGTTCATGAGAAAATCCGAATTTCACTCATTAACCGATTAACCACAGATTTAGTATAATGGCGTCATAAGCCTGAACACGGTATAAATTCGGTCCATCATTCAGAGATAATCATGGTATCAGATTATCACAGACATACCAATGACTGAAAAGATGTTTTGTTTTTTACTTCCACTTACGTATATATTTAATATATAGTATGGGTAAGTATTGCGATCGTGAAAATTTTCGAATCTCAGTTTTCAACGAAAGTACATGTTTTGAGGTCCCCTGAGTTCAAATAACCAAGTGTCGCAAAATGGTCTGTGTGTGTGTTTTAACAGTCTAGTTCATAAACGAAAAGTAGTACGAAACTGATATTAAGTATTTAACATTTGTATATGGCCGGATGTGACAGCAACTTTTTCGTTAAAATCGGCTTACCGGAAGTGCCATTTTATATAAACGGTGAAAAACATTTTTACAATTTTCTCAAAAACATCAAACTCGGTGTATCATTGTATAATTAAGTGGTCCTTAATATCATTTAGGTCTTATCCCCGTTGATGCCACTTAGAGGGCTTAAATACACAATTTTCATATATGTCTTCCGCTAAAGTACCTTTAATATGGTTTATTTTAAAAAGTTAACCATTTCGCATTATTCAGAGTTACGAAAAAATGCTACATATAACATTTTAAAGAATTTAATAAGTTAATAAAGGAGAAAAAATAAATAAAAATGCAGAAAAACCTGCGTTGCTATAGACTGTAGCGCCTAAATGAATGTACCGATTTCAATGAAAATTCGCTAACGTCATTTTCTCGATACCCTTTAAATTTATCTATACAACATACTTCAACGAAAAGAAGCTGGAAAAAAAGTTACGAGGGATGTTAAAATTAAATTCCGAATAACTCAAAAGATATACATTTTTGTTAATATTGGAATAAAATGTTTCAAAGATATTTAAATTCCCTAAAAAATGAAAGAAGTTTCATCGAAATCAAAGAACTATTAGTATAGATATCGCGATTTTAAAATATTGTTTATACATTTTGCTGTAAAAAATTTTCCTGTCGAAAACCAAGATATAAACTAACTGTGGATTAGTGAGATCTTGTTTAACATGCTAAATGTTTAAATGCTAGTGCACATTAAATGTTGAAAAGACTGTCTAAGTACTAATCGAAATCAAAAAGGACTTTGAAAATGATTATAATAATGATAAGGGGGAATAAAAGCTTGCTATTGTAAATTCATATTATAATAGGCAGTCAGTTTGATAGTATAATAAAGAATATTTCTAGTAAACTCACAATACGATTCACGATAATATAAAATATACTTCTTTTCTCTTTTTTAAATCAAAAAACATAACAATAAAAAAATACAAAAGATGTGAAGGAGTCGGCCAAGCATAAAATTACCACATAAAGCCGGTGGCAGTTATCTTTTGCTAAAAAGCCCGCGGGACCTGGCCGAGGCGGGGGGGGAGAAGTAGGGGGGCGGGGCCACATCAGATTGCTATTGTGTAAATCCCCTCCCTCCCTCCTCATAATCAGCCCCTATTCTACGACTTGTTCAATATTCACTCAGTTTTAGGAACTTGGTCAGCTCAACTTTTGTTTCCTATCGTTTTTTTGAACAAGAAGTAAAAATGTATGCATTATTTTAGTTTTCACTGTATACTATATAAAGCCTTTGTGAAGAATTTGTATGTTTGAGCATGCTTTGTAGGCTGAGATGATGTTAGCAGTATGTTTTGATTTTCTGTTTTTGTATGGACCATTTATTGAGGAAGACTCAGCATCAGAGCAGTAATCATAAACATCGATCGATTTGGAATACTATTCGCAATCGCGCTAGTACAACTTCCGTTAAATATATTTTTCAGTCATTATACGTAAAGCGCAGGGACAAACTTTCAAGCATGTTGGAGCACAGTAACTGCATTCCATCCTATCTAGATAAGTTATGATATAACTAGTTTACACTTATTCTAAATAGAGAAAGAACTAAAAATATAGTTTCCACTAAAGTACAGTTAGTTTTCTATAAATAGTTTGAAAATACTGTTCCTAAGAATTTTGTATAAAGCCCGCAAACGCGACGCTTTGTCATCATTTTTTTCTGTGTCTAATCAGCTCGTTTTAAACATGAATGTTGGAGTTATTCAGATAATCAGATCAGCTTCAGCAACAAAATGTACCCCGGCTAAAACCCCGACGCATGACTAGTTTATAGTAGAACTATACATATATGTGCATGTATTACTATTGTTATATATTAAGTATAGTATATATTATTATTATATTATAGTGTATATTATTAAATCGTAAAAGTGTGTTAAATCGATGGTATAAAGTGCCAATTCCGGTTTGCCGATTTTAACAAAAAATATCCTGTAACATCCCAGGCATATACAAACCTAAAATACGCAATTTCAGTTTCGCACGGCTTTTCATTGAGTTAGACCGTTCACACACACAGACCATTTTGCGAGATTCGGTTTAACCAGGGAACCTCAAAACGTGTATTTGCGTTGAAAACTAGATTCGAAAATTTATACGATCGCAATACTTTCCCGTACTATATATTTCATATACATGGAAGTGAAATTAAAAATATTATTATTATTACGTGACAATTAATAACTATAATTTAAACTGAATTCTTATTGAGAGAATTTTATTACAAAATTCGTAAATACTATTAAATAAAACAGGATATTTCCTATGTATGCCCTTTTTAAATAATATTATAGTTCCAATAAAATATACTTCTTCAGTTTCCTCATGTTCCTAGATTGCACATACCAATCTCTCAAACGTTCGTTAATTGGAAACAATTTTCTCAGTGTTGGTTTGGCTAAAAATTGGAGTGCTATATTTTCTAAAATGCCTTTTATAAATGATTTTAGTGTATGATTATTTTTTATTTTGTTTCAGGTAAGAATCAACGGCATTGATGTCTTTGATTTGTAAGTAATTCAGACTTTTAATTGTATTCCTCACGGGATGGAATTTATTTTACTTGTTTGTTATACCTGTTCCAAGCATAAAGTAAAAATGGTGTAGACACATATAAATGTCTATTTTTATCGGACTGCGGCAATGTCCCTGGAAGAGTAACATTTTTAGTGTAACCATTTGTAAACATGTAGAAATTGTTTTAGCGAACGGCTTAACCGATTTTCATGTTTGAGATCTGAATTTATTTATTTGAATCCTCTTTATTTAAAACAATTTAAGCTCAAAATAATTGAAAATTATTGCATGTAGTCTATATTTTTGAAGTTATGTAATGATATTTTGAGCGCACCTCTATTTTGATGTTTTATAACTCTAATTAAACTAGACTGAATTCTAAAGCTAAAAATGTAGCATAAATTTATACCAGTGAAGTTTTAATTTATTTTTGTAATTGTAATTTATTCTACGTGCAGTGGTTGTATCTTTTTATTGTTCCCTCTCCTCCAAGCACTGAGAAGTTTAAAGTTTCTACTCCATAATTTTCTGTAGGAAAACAAAAGAAAAACTGTTCATTTTCCTAGTGCTGGATCCAGCTCTGAAATGAGACAGGAATCCTTTCCTGTTTCTGTTTATCTCCTGCTTGTCTAGACTCTGGTTCTCTTGCCTGTTGAGAAATGATCACAGCATAATAGTGGTCGGAAAAGAACCCTGAGAAACGTTCAATTTAAGCAAGATGTTTGAAAAACGAAATTTATTGTAGAATTTCGGGCATTCTGAATTAATATACAATAAAACGATTTTGGCATGACCAACTGTTATAATTATTGTTAATTTTTTCAAATTATAAATAAAATATATTTTGGATGTAATGTGTTGTAAAATTGAAAATTTATTGAAAATAGAGGGCCGCTCTCAGACCACTGTGTAATTGTATATGATCCACGATTTTTCTAATTTTACCTTACCTTGCTCTGTTTTTAAGAAAATGTGACCAACAAAATATCTTTGGAGGAAGGCTTAGGTTTTTACACCATCGACCTTGGGGGGATCAAGGACTTACCCTTACAATGTATTTCATACATAAGTAAGTCAAAGTAAAAATTATATTTGTATACTGTTCAATACTAATATGAAAGAGTTGAAAAGGTTGTTTTTTTCTTATTAAATAATATAATATAGGAAATTTATTTTGTTCCATAAACACTTGTTTTTTCTATCCTGATTCAAAAATATTCAATTCAGACATCAATTAATTGATTAAGCCTTGACGGGTTAGCTTGTCTTTACATACATTTTAAAGGCGCAAGACTTTGTGGTTGGATTTTCAATTACGATCTAAAATAATAATAATAATTGCGTAATTGCCGATGCGTGTAGGTCCCCCTCCCTTCGTCTTACCAACTTCAAGTTCTCCTTACTGGTGGATTTTTATTTAATCTGTTTTGTTTATGTACCGTAAGGATTTATTACTTGTGTTCCCAGGACAGTTCCAGTATTTAGGATATCCTTCCTTCCACTTTGAGCCGCCGTTAATTGTGTTGACAATGGATTGAGAAGCCTTGTGCTGGGGCCAGGAGGCGGGTTCACGACGCTGCCCGCCGAGATGATAAAGCAACAACAGAGCGGGATCCAAGTTTAATATCAGCTAGGGCTCTTTCCCTGATTAACTCTTCTTTTCCTCTCTTCCTCTCTTTGATATATTTTCATTCTGCTTTTCTTTTCTCGTTCTATCCTCCCGTCAAGGCCAATGAAATTATTTTGAAGCTGGGTTATTGTTTCAGATCGTTATTGAGGGACGACAGCTTGAGGTAGTTTTGTAATTGATTTTGGGTTCCAGTCAACTGAAAATTTATGAAAATTTAAAAAAAATATAAGAATAATTCTTGGAGGGGTGTTAAAAAACCTGGAAGGGCATTCGTAATAATTTCAGATGGAATCATTTCTAAAGTCTATCTGATGAGCCGTTTCATAATTTTTAGCTCACAGTGAATCTCTATATAGATGTCCGTAAAGTTGTAGAAAAAAAACAATGTCTTCTCACATTAATTTTTTCCCAATATTTATTCTCTTAACGTTTCGGGTTTTTGTTGCCCGTTTTCAACAAAACAACAACAATAAAAACAAACTAAAAAAATAATGAAGTTTTGAATGCCATATTTAATTGGGTTTTCGGAGCAGTCTTAATCTTGTGGATTTTAAATGTCAACGCATATATTATTGCTTGGGTGGACATAACGGATTTTTGAAAGTTCGGCTAAAAACTAAACATCTTTCTTATATATTCCATATTATTATAGAGAAAAGTTATTGTTATCGAAATATGAAGGAATTCATTTTTGGTTTATCATTCATTCTTCATTATGGTATCGTGAAGTATTATGTTCTCTACTTCAAATTAGAAGTTTAACGATTTGAGTCAGAATGATTCCAGTTAAATATTAATTTTCATTGCTCTGCGGTATAATCTTCGGCCTTTTTCCCACAAGAGATAAGAAATGCGTTTTCTTTTTTTTATATATTCTTTTGGGTCATTGGTGAAGAGCTTTTAAACTATTGAATTAAGTTGTTTTTTAGGAAATTAGGCATAATGGGTTTGGTTGATCTTGAATGATTCAATTATAGTGAGTACACGGACTCAAATAGTTTGCCAATGCTTATTTTTGCCATATCTCAATAATCGTTTTTTCTATCTTTTTTTTTTATTCTTTGGTATTGCTTACTTCCGTCACTCTATAGCCCATGTTGATCCTTGGCCTCCACAGCAACGCCCCTCCAATCCTCTCTATCAGCCCGGCTTCTCCATTGTCCAATTCCCATCTTCTGTAAATCGTCCTCCACACCATCTATCCAAGTCTGGACCTTCCTCTCCTTCTTTTGCCTCCTGGCTTACCATATAATAGTATTTTTGGGTATCGATCTTAACCGATCCTTTCTACGTGCCCAAGTCATCTTATATGGTTTGATTTTCCATTGGTTTTTTATACATGTCGGCCCAAAGATTTGCCGAAGGACCTTCCTTTCCGAGATCTAGAAGATCTTTTCACTTTCCTGTACCAGGATCTATGTTTTACCTGCATAAGTACAATTGCTCTCGAGATAGTCTTATAAACCAGTACCTTTGCCCTCCGTGAAAGGTTTCGAAAACGCAATGTTTTCCGTAATGCAAAACAGACATCTGTTTCCTGCTGAGATTCTTGCATTAATTTATACAGTGATGTTATTTTTGTATTTCACTAAGGCTCAAAGATATTTGAAACTGCCAGCTTACTTAAAAGTATGATGGAGCAGTTGCATGCTATCCAGTTCTTCCCCTCACTTTTGCGTGTTTTCTCTATTTATTTTAAGACCCAATTTTTTTCCAGCATATTCAAACTCCTGTGAAGCCCCTACTAGTACGGCTTTAGATCTTGACGATATTACCACGTCATCAGCATATGCTTAGTGTTGAATAAGTCTATTACAGATTGTTCCTCCTGGGTTTGTCTTTATTGATCTAGCCGCTTGCTCCAATGCAATATTGAATAATACAGGAGAGAGAGGATCTTCTTGGCGTAAACCATTCACTACCTCTAATTCTTCTGACAGAGTGTTCTGTATCACCCTGCAGCTGGTTTTTCAAGGGTCGTCGCACTCAATCCTAGGAGCTTTTCTGGAACTTCATTTGCCTTCATCACATTAAGCAGTTTATTTCTGTTGAGACTATCGTATGCTTATTGGAAATCGATGAAGAAATGATGGAGATATATGTTATATTCATATTTAGTATTATATATCACTTTGGTATTATATATTTGTTAATTGGTTCGTTGATCATTTTTTTCTGCGATTTATATTTTTTTTTTATCGAAAACTATGAAGACCTCAGTGTTCCTGATTATCAAATAATTTTTTTATAATTTTTCATCCTTCAATCACAATGTCTTCGATTACTCACTCTTAGCGAGTAAGTCTTTTGTACCATCACCGATCACACTCAACTGACTCCATATCGGATAACTCACGACTCTTAAAAACATAAGAGCTACAAATGAAGTTTATTTCTAATATTGAATAATATTCCCTATAGTTTATAATATTATTTTCATTGGTTATAGAGAATTAGTTTCTGACATTTTATGCATTAATACCTACTACCGGTCTGTTATATCCTTCATTTTGCTGATTAATTTTTCTTCATTAATTTCAATCTGCCCCCGTTCCATTATTAAATAACCTTTTAATTTCTTCCGTCGTTTTAAAGTATTAAGTTGAAGCTTAAACTGACGTGAGACGACTGGTATTAACGTTCCTGGCCCCTCGCGTCGCATTAAATTTCTATTATTACGTCAGCGTAGTCATAACCTTAATTGAAACAAGCTACAACTCTGCCCTAATATTTTTCTGCTTAATAAATTTTTTCATAAATAAGACTAGTTGTCTTAAATGGTCGATATTTTTCTGTCGTGTGTTCGATTATTCGAAAATTTTGTAATGTATTATTGTAAATACTAGGCTAATATAATTAAAAACATAATTTTTTATACTGAGGAAACTTTTGGGAAATTCTTGAACAAATCCCTTTAAAAGTATTTGTTTTTTATTATGAAATATCTGTTTTGAAAGCGAAGTTAGTGCATTATAAAAGTTATTAAGTAATGAATTAAAATGCTGATATTGATTTTCATAGGTTTTATTAGTATTAAAGAATTAATATTGAAGACTTTTTATTAATAAATTACCACTTTATTTTTATGATTATACTACTGCTATACATTCTCTAAATTTTCATTTTACGTGATGTAATATGAAATCCAGCCTACTAAGCAATAAAGCACCCTGTTCTAGCGTTCGTCTTAATCGTCTTCTCTTGATCTGGCATTTCCATATCGATATATAATGAACCCCTTCGTACGATAAGAGTAGACTTTCGCACCATCGTCAACAGAAAATACTGTCTATAACCACGTTCCACTATTATAATTAACAAAAAAATAAATATAATAGAAAGGAAATATTAACAAATATTCCAAAATAAGGT